TGTAAATATGACAGGCGAAATTAATTTGCCCAATGCAAATATGCAAAATGTGGAAAATTTTCTCCTTTGCCCCGCAGTTTCCCTTTGCCACTGCCACTCCCTTCTCTCTGTGTGTTTCCCCTATGCTCTGTCCTTTTTCTCATTTCCTCTCTTTTTTACATACATACATATGTATATACATATATGTATGTATATATATGCGGTGTCATACATTTTTGGCAGAAACCCGAAAGTACTTCCCGAAATACCATGAAAAGCAAATAGCTGAAAAATATTCGCTGACGCTTACGAGTCGAGAGCAGAAAATTCAAGCTGAGTGCAAATGCAGAAAGCCACACAGATACACACACACACACACACAATTATAGTGCAAGTCATGCGTTATCAAAAACCCAAAGCCCAAAACCCAAACCCAAAACCTAACCAAAGCTGCTACCCAAAACTCTGTGTCTGAGGTCTCAAATATCATGAGGCTGTTTGGCAGAATTTCCAAGAAATTTCACCTGCCTGGTGAACCCTAACCCTAGGCAGAGCACACACACACACACACATGCAGCACTGCAGCTTCCCATATGCCTTGCTAATATGGCTGGCTGGCTAGCTTAGTTCATGTCAAGTTGTTGCCGGCTATAGGACTCTGCCAACTAGCAGGGTACATGGCTGGAGACTGGGGTGCAGGCAGAGGTACCCAGCGGGCGACATTTGCCAACAAGAAGCTCATTTTCAAAACGGTTGCAACAGCTCTGCACATCCCAATGAACAAAGTTTGGGGCTGCATAGTAGAGATTTTCAACAGGTGAAACAGGTCCGCTAAAATTATTCTATACTGATTCTATACTGAGATCTGTTTTGATCGACTGAGAGTTTTGGCTCTAAATTGCATTTAAGAACTTAAAAAATAGTCCGAAAATCTTCCTTTATCGATGCATGATAACATCTGCATATACAAATTTTCCTAACATTGCCATTAATTATTGCTATCTTCTCTTAGCCTCTGCGTATGGCCTAAGCTATCGTGCCACACATTTGCTTGCTGGGCTACCAGTTGCATCTGCATGGACTGTTCTACTGGTCTGCCTTCGTGCCTTCATTACGCATAAATTGTGGCTGCGAGACTGCACTGAATTATGACAAAGTTAATGGCATTATAATACCAAAATGCTGACATCTGCTAGAGCCCCAGCTACGCGCATTAAACCCAGCGACTGTTGTGCCAAATTCGGCTTCAATTTCCAAACATTTCTTAAAGCCCCAAAAAAAAGAAGGAACTTTGTTGCTTGTGTTTCTCGATGGTGTGGTCGATGGTGGGGTAACTTGTTGTTCCAAAAGCGGACAAGAAGAGCAAATGACCCTCGTTTGTGGGTCTCCGTATCTGACTCCCTCCAGAGGTCTGTCGCTTGGCTTGTCTGGCAGGTGGGGTTTGGGTGGGGGAGACATACATGGGTCACCGATGTCAGCACACATACACATCAGTGTCAGACCCCGAGCCTCTTGCCATAATCTGTTTTTACCATACCCAGTACTTGGGGAAGAGCAAGGGTATGTTTTGGGAGTATGTAAAAGTATTTAATGTAATTTCTGATCTCATTCGATTTTAAATTAAATGTGGGAAATCTTTTAAGATGGTTTTTTTTCTACTTAATGTGTTTTTATTTTTATTTATTTATATTTATTTTATATTTATATATATTTTTTTATTTTTATATTATATTATATTATATTATATTATTGTATTTTTATATTTTTTATATTTATCTGTTTATTTATTTTTTTAATGGGTATTCCGTACTCCCAAATCGTATGCTCTGCTCTTTGTTGTTTCGTTTTTTTTATCGCGATTCTGACGCTCGCGCTTGAAGCCACAGGACACATGGCTTTGAGGGGGTATACTCGTACAACCACAACAACAATGGCTTCTCATATCGCTCAGCCTGGCTCTCTTTGCTGTGTATCTTCGTGTGTGTGTGTGTGTGTGTGTGTGTGTGTGCTTACTTCCTGTACGCGCCGCATGCCGCCACCGCAAACTTGCGGCAAAGGCAAAGGCAAAGGAGCGCCCTGCTCTAACATCCGGCTTCCGATTCGCCTTTCACCATCACCGTCGCCGTCGCCAACATCGCCAGCGCCTCGCTAGTTGGTTACTGTTAACTTGTTTTGATTTTTTAATGGCTCGCCTCGACAACAAGAACATTTATGCTTTCATAACCACACCAACTACCCAACTACCCAACCAGCCAACTGCCCAACTCCCCAACTTAAAGCGGCGGCAGGCACCTTTAATGAAGGTTTTTTTCCTCAGGTTTCCAAGAGTTTGCTCTCGTGTTGCGTCGTTCCCTTGCTCCCCTTGAATTCGTCACGTGAATTCTTTGCGTGACTTTTGTCAAATAATGGCACAACAATGGCCAGGCGAACAATTCATCTATGTTGGATTCGTGAAAGATACTACTCAGCATTTGACATGGCCGCCGCCAGGAGCCTAGGAGCGCAGCCAGCCCGAACCCCAACCCGAAGCTTTTGTCATGCAAATTGCTGAACAAGCAGGGCGAGACCAGGACCAACAGTCGTGGACGTCGTGACGTTGATTGCTCATGAAGTCAAATTAAAAGCAAACAAGTTGCAGCGCCGCCAAGCTGAAGTGAGGAATGCTCTTTAAATTCACTTGGATGGCAAGCACTGACAGGGAGATCTGCGGATTTTTGTAAAGAACAAAAGCAAACCCTCAAATGAACACAATTCGGAGAAGAATTCTACTGCGCATTGCCAAAAGAATTGCTGATTAAACAATACTGGCACAGTTAATGTAGCCCCTCCTCAGGGTATATCCACACAAGAGGCAGCAGTGAACTCTGCGTTGCTTACCTTCCAGCCCATTTCCCTTTCCCCACTTACCCCCTCCCGCCATTAACCATTTCCATGCTGTTCGCATGCAACTCTTGGGTAAAAAACAAAAGAGCTGCCAACAAGGCAACAGCAAAAACCATGGAAAAAACGCAGGCAAAGAAGTAAACTCAAGTGAAGGCAGAAGAAATACAGTTGGCGCTAAAGGGGGGAAGGGCGAAGCACACACACACAAGTCAAGTCGGGAAAACTTTTGTTCTTCGCATTGTTGCTGCTGCTGCTGTAATGGCTGTAAAGGAGTTCCCAGAATGATGAGGAGGCGGAGTCCTGTGCAGAGTCGTCGATTTTAATTACGTATGCAATTTATTTATTACCTTTGCCCGGAAATATTGTGCGATTGTGTTGCTTGTTGCCTTTACTCAACGGATGTGGCACAAAGCCCAAGGAACAGCCAGCCAGGCTGGCAGTCAGGCAGGCAGTCCGGGCAAAGGGGCAGGACTGAGGCAGCAAAGATTTAACATGCGGTTATGAAGTTATTTTTCATTTTCACAATTGAGTCCTGTCAGAATGTGCAGCCCATGGAAAACGGATTGCACTTCTTTCAGTACTCGTTTTGGAGTGGGGGAATATGAAGCCAGTAGAGCCCTCTGCACAGGTTAACGTAGGTTCTTAATGGGTTGAAGGACTGCAAATTTAACTTGATTGAAGGTATTTTAAGTGAATTAACAAAGAACTGATTTGGTGTGACTTTTTTTCAGTTCAGTGACGCAACCCTGGAGACTGCCCAGAAATTATATACTTACTCAATTCCCTGCTCGTGAATCATTACAAATGGATGAGCTAAGTGAGAATTATGAGACATCCACGGAAGTGCCATCAATTTCTATTCAAAATTCGCTGACACACACAGACATGGCCTGCTGTCCCTGTCCCTGCCACAATAAATCCCTGGCCATAGCGTGTGTCCGCTAAATTAGCCTTTTCATTAGGTAAAACAAGCGAAATTTGTTCACAATGTTGTCGTTGTGAGTCGGCCACATGCACAGAGTGCGCAGTGTATGCCTCACTCCCCATTTCAAATTGGTTGCATTACTTGATTAGGGCGCGCACAATGCTGTTATTAAAATTCAATCTAAAATTTCCCGTTCGGCTTGAGTCTCGTGTGGCGCTCCGAGCTGATTGCATGTCTAATCGAATTTAACAGCCTTTTTGCAGCGTGGATGTGTGATAAATGTGAGTGAGTTCTCGGCGCAAGGACCACCCGGGGCAGGGGCAAGGGGGAACAAGCAAGGAAATTAACGAATTTCGTATTAAGTGCAAATTCCGGCATCCAATTCGTGTCATGCGATTGTGATTTGACGGAGCTCCTACAGCTCCTACAGCTCCAAGTGCGCGCTCTGTGGGGGGTTTTGCACCACCCCCCCTTCCGTATGTAATGTGATTTGCATGTTGATCGCGTGAATCCCCCCAAGTAGACGTAAGTTTTGGAAACTGCGCTACAGGTTCTTAGATATGCAATATGGATTTACCAAAATTAAATTAAATTTCCATTTGCCTTCCTTCCATCATATCAAGCAGAGAGAACCCTTGGATTTTAGGCAGTTTTATTTCCAAATCTCTCCTCGAATTGCCAAATACTCCGGCAGATGATATATCTAACTGGCGGACGCTTACTTGGCTGGGCACTCGTAAAGCTGTCTAAACCGACGAGTTCTCCAACGAAAAATCGCATGGCATTCCTCTTTCTATTGGATGCTTTAAGGAAACTCTGCTGCTCTGGTGGAAAACCCACAGTCTCGAGGCATTATCGGCCAAGCCAATCAATTCGTCACTCTAATATGTGGATATCCGCGCTGCAGGTTCTGAGTAAAAATTATAAAAATGCAAACAGTCATCGAATTGCGGAATTTTTGAATTTTTAAAAAAGATTTTGGGGCTATATTGCAAGTTCTAAGTATGAGGAAGTGATCTACTCATCGCGGCCCACAACCTAAATTTTGGCTCGTGCAAAGTACAAAATGACTGTCGCACAGTGTAATTGACATGATTCGAGCCCGATTCGAGGAGTACCTCCTCCCGCGCTACTTTAGGCCGGGGGTCCCTTCCCTGGACCCATATAATATACCCATGTAAATGTCACTAATATTATTAGATCATAGTTTAAGTGCAACTAATAGACAATTGGAATAAATAAAGCAACAATAAAAATGAAAACTTAAAAAATTTCCTTTGATGATTGATTTTTGTTGAGTGCCTTGACCTTTTCATACAGCGCCTGCACTTGGCTCTCCTCGACCACTCTCAGCACCTGGTAGAGTTCCTTCTTGCTGGGACTCAACTGCTGGTAGCCGCTGAGGGTCACATTCAGCCACTGCTCGGCGAGATCGGCGCGATCCTTGTCGTATGCGAACAGAGCCAGCTCCAAGGACTCCAACGGACTATCGGAATATCGAGTGTGGATTAGGACTCTCTCTGGCCTAACTTGATTGATTTCTTGGACTTACTCAAACTGAACTCCAGCCCGGGGTTCGTGGATGAGGTCTTGCTTGGCATTCAAGTATTCAGCTCTTGGAATTTGTGGCATCAGTGCGCGCATCTTGGACAGTTGCTCTAAGGGAACAGTTCTCTGTGAATGGAGCAAGTTTTTTGTATGTTTTGAGTGTCTGCTACCTCTGCCCAGGGGCTGCTCCATGAGCCGCCGCCAATTGGTCCAGTCGAAGTGCGTGTGGTGGATCAGGGAGTAGCTGTGCAGGGGATTGGCCAGGTACTGCTCCCAGTCGGGCGCCGCTTGCTCGTGTTTCACTCTCATCAATGAAATGTAGCTGGAAATGGGAACTCAGAACTCCTTTTTCTACTCCGTTTTGGTACCTACCGACGCATCAAGCTGATCTGTTTCTGGAGCACACTGCTGTAGTCCACCATTTGCGCCAGGAGCTTCTCCTCCACAGCCATCAGTTTTTCAGTGGCCGAACCACTTGCGGCGGAGGCAAGCGACCCACAAAAAGTGTGGAAAAGAGCCAGCGAAACGAGGCCAAGACGCAGAGAAAACCACATGATTGATGGTAGAGTAATGAATAATACGTATATTATATATAGTACGCTCCAAGGCGAAGCGTGACCAACAGAATTCTGCATTAGTTATGGGTGTAAGGGGAAGTGGCTATCGATTGCACGGTCTGCGGAAGGGCTGCGACATCTCGTCTATCCACTTGACCAGGGCTGAAGCGGAGGAAAAGTTATCATAGAGAGTCTCCCCTTTAAGACTACGTGTACGCACCCCACTTTGAGCCCTTGATTATGGGACAGGATGTATGGAGCGAGTCCTGTTCGCCCTCTCCGCGATCGTCGAGGTTGTACCAGAGAATGGCATCACCGTTGCGGGGCTGAACGGAGATATTCAGACGGGGAAAGAGAGTGGCACCGCCTTGCGGCACATCATTGAGCTGCAGATCAGAGAATTTCGAGTGGAAATCAGACATTAAAGTCGGACATAAAACATACATAAAACAGAACGGTGGCTATGCGGTCTCCTACGCTCCGATTCTTGACAACCTAAGGATGCAAATGATGGATCAGAAAGAGAGTTCAACTGCGTGTTGTGGTGCTCACATCTGGGCTCTCGAAGTGATCGAGGTGGGGATAGTAGTGGCCCCCGATGCCGTAGTTGAGCAGCTGGTACACCTCCGAGTTCGCCATCTCGAAGCTGGTCATGTCCCCTGCCCGCCGTTCCAGCCGCTCGATCACCGCATTGCTCTTGGCCTGAAACCACACCGAGTTCGAGGTGCGCCTCTCGTCGATTAAGGGTGTCCGATTCTTTTTGTGGTACGTCATGGCCCGCCGCTTCATCATGGGCTTGGCCAGGTCCCGCAGCGTCTGCGACTCCAGCGGCGTGATGGCGCCGTGGTAGAGCACCATGTAGGGCGAGAGCGAGAGCAGCTCCGTCTTGAACGGAGCCAGCCGGGCGAAGGGCGAGGCTGTGGTGTTGTAGCTGCACGTCAGGCGGTGCATGTCCCGGTACGGACAGCCGCCACGGCAGCAGAGCTGCAGGACCGTCAGCGGAAGATTGGGTTTCTGCATCGGCACATCGTTGCTGCTCATCAGCCGCATCTGCACCCTGTCGCGGAGTCGTCGCAAGTAGGGCTTGGGATGCCAATCGATGGCCTTCAAGGCATCCGCATAGCGATCTGATTGGCGATTGAATTTATGGTAAGGGTAAGACTTGTGTCAATTGATCTCCCAAACTCACTTAGCGTCATGAGTCCTTCGATGTACTGCTTGTGCACCTGGGAGACATCGAAGCCAATGATCTGGTAGTGGCCTTTTGTCTCCTCTGATGCCTGTTCGTACAGTGTGAGGGCCTGCTCCAGCCATGCCACCGCCTCGTGGAATAAGTTCTTCTTATACAATGCCCGAGCCACAGTGAAGCACTCCGGGGCTGAGAAGCTTGTCCTGCAAAGGATCTCAAATGAAGGCGGGAGGAAAGGGATATTTCTGCTATGGCTGCGCCCACCCGTGTTGAACGCCATCGAGCAGGCCTGTGACCATATCCTTTGGCTGCAGCTGATAGATATGCTGCATCCTGTGAATGCCCAGGCAGCCCTCCTCCAGGTCCCATACTGAGGGATAGTGGGCTCGTGAATCCTTCAGGAACTGCAGCTGCTTCTTGCCCAGGGGCTGCTGCAACAGCTCCAGCATGTAGGCCCAATCCTTCTGCATGTGCCGCGCGAAATGGAAGTGGTCTAGGGGATTTTCCTGCAGGTTTTCCGTATCATAATGCTTCATCATGTAGTGCACCGTCCTGGTGGGGGAATGTAGAATGAAAGCCTGGCTCAAGCAGGTGGCTGAACCCACCTTTGGATAAGTTTGATTCTTTCTCTTAGAACTTCAATGTAACTGTCCAGAATGTCCAGCAAATCAGCGTTGAACTCCAGCAGATCGGCCATGCCAACGACCGAAGTTGAGTAGAACTGTTCAGCCCCGTCGCTGTCTTCCAGGCTCTGAGATCCAGCATCCCGGAAAGCCACTACCAAAAGCGACAGATAGAGCAGACTTCTGGCCAACATTATCTGTGGAATGCTACTGACTGACTGAGGTTTCAATAGAGAGAGAGTTAAGGCGTGGAAATTGATTGGTCATGAATCAGATATGGAACGACTTGGAACGAAAGAAGCAGCGACAAGGCGGGCAAAAGTAATACCATAATAATAATTAAATACTACATATATATGATAAATAAATCTATACCTAAGAATAGGATACCTAAGAAAGGATGAACCAATCCTCCCAATGAATATTCACGCATCGTTTAACTCATATTGTTTCCCAACCGACAATTTCAAAATACTTTTTTCATTTCGAAACTATTTCGATTAGCCCAACAAACAAATACATGAGTATCGATAGCTATCACGATATATACGAAATATCGTATGAGCAGATATTTGCCATCCCTCAATTGCAGCTCTACGTTTTTCCAGCCCTGTTTGAAACTTGCGTGTCACTTTGTAGGGAATTTGTAAAATTCAATCAACAAAAAATTCAGGAACAGTGTGCCTTGTTCGGTTGTAGGATTTGTCAATCAAATTCCATCAGAGTTCGAGTTACTAGCCAAATTTGGATATTCAGCAACAAAAAATACGAAAACAGGGGCAGTCAAAAAGCGACTAAAAGCGAAAGTTTTGGACATCAATAAAAAACACCGGCAAACACTGGTAAGCAGAACACTGCAGGCAAATGTGATATGCTGTGTGTGTGTGTGTGTGTGACGGTATTTAACCATCCAGCTTTATAGCTCAGCAAGTGCTGCCATTTAGTAAAAAGAAGCTTAAACAATGTCGGACCGCAAGGCAGTGATCAAGAATGCAGACATGAGCGAGGAAATGCAGCAGGATGCCGTGGACGTGTCCACCGCGGCCTTGGAGAAGTACAACATCGAGAAGGACATTGCCGCCTACATCAAGAAGGAGTTCGACAAGAAGTACAACCCCACCTGGCACGTCATCGTCGGCCGCAACTTCGGCTCGTATGTGACCCACGAGACGCGTCACTTCATCTACTTTTATCTGGGCCAGGTGGCCGTGCTGCTCTTCAAGAGCGGTTAACTGGACCCGACCATAGCCAAGCAATAACCAAAACAAATTACAATGTTCACGCATATTAGCACACACATAATTCTAGACATAACCAATCTGAAATGACTGTCAAAAATAGCCACTGAAACCACAGCACAAACTTTCCGTAATGATAAATTCGAATTGCACAAAAACACAAATTTGAAGGAAATTGAAATTAAAATTGATAGATAATTTGAGTAACTCTTCAGTTGATTGAAGAAGATTTCAAGTGAACATACTGCACTTTGCTTTACATAAAGTTGAGCTGCTTGGTGGGTCTCTGTCAGGGAATTTATTGCTCCATTAAAATGTTTAGATCTTCTATATACCTAATAGTGCAGGGTATTTAAATGGGCAAATCTACCTCTAGATAGTCCATCTGCTCTAATTTCAATTTAATCTATAAATTCTATTTATGAACAATAATTCCCTGTCTAAATTGAAGCGTTCTCTGATGGTTACTAAAAATATATTTAAGAAAATTGCAGCCAATTCTTTAATACTTTATTAAGCCCCAATCATTATTTTAAAGTTTCCATAGAGCTCAAGTATTAAATCAACATTTCAGTAAGCCCGAACCGAACGCACGCAGCTGATAATGCTTTTTGGGTTAATTCCTGCATTCATTGAGGGCCCGCACTCTTCGAGAATGTCCCTTTGAGTCCATCACGGGGCAAACAATGGGAGTACTGGCAGCAGCAGCAGCATCCGCCTCACCTGGTTATGGGCAAATAAAAATTGCTTAATTAAGTTAATTAAAATATTGTCGCTGTCCAGTGTGTCGACCGGGGGGCTGGCTGGCTGGCTGGCTGGCTGCTTCCGTGTGCCATCTGCAATGCCCTGGCATTTATGTATTTTTATTATCATAGCGATTGGCCAATTTCGGACAGGAGCATCGTTGGCGCGGTAATTATGCCAGATCACGTTCCAGTCGGAGTCTGGTTTGGTATCGAGGTCGGGGTCTGAGTCTGAGTCCACCAGCCGCAATAATAATCATAAAAATAATATTAATAAAGTTCTCAAAGAGCCGAATATATACCGCAATATATTGTACATATTTGTGAAATACTTTTACACTTGGCAGCAGGCCGAAGCATATGGAAATATTTTCCATGGGGATTTCTCTGAGAGCAGAACGATAGAGTTGGTTTGAGCCGCTTTCACAGTTCGACGACTTTCGGCCTTGTCGGACAGCTGACGCGCTTCTGTTTTCCGAGCCCCGTGCATCCGTCGCACCGACAGACAGAGAGAGAGAGAGAGAGACAGAGAGGGTCCAGGTCAGTCAGACTGATTCTCATGCATATTTCATGGCTCGCTTAAATGCGCCAAAGGATACGGCCCCAAAAAGGATACAAAAAAGAGCGGAGTAATTCCTCGATTCGGTAGCTAAAGCGTGCCGTAAAAATTTAAGTGCCACGCAATCAGTTTTACGCTGAAAAATCTTTATTAATATTTTTTACGTTTGTCAATTTATGCTGGAATATTTCCTGCAAGCATTCATTCATATACATTTTTTATATACTTTGACATTAAAAACAAACCAACAAAAACAAAGCCCCCAACAAAGGCTGGCAAATGCTTGGGTTTACGTCAAATGCTTTCCTTTCCACCTCTTCCCCAGCACAATTAAAGTGTTTTATGGGGGTGCTGCTCTGTTGTTGGTTGTTTATCCTTCGAGCGATGTTTCGTGTCTGCTCGTTGGCTCTGTCTCTGCTGTTGTCTGGCTGAATGAGCACAGGAGCGGAATTTGCGACCGTGTTGAGTCTGCGCTGTGGCTGGCTATCCCGTGGATGAGAGCTGCTTTCCGGCGAGTGAGTAGATGGCGCTAGCGAGTAACGGAATTGAAGTTCTCGTCAGAGTTTGTTTGGATTTTTGAAGAGTTTTCAAAATGATAAATTACGAAAATCTATTGGGGGGCTACACTTGGGAAACTTATTCACGAAGCCATCTGGATCCTTGGTATGGGTTTTCCTTATCTGTAAAAATCACTTTACAAACATATTCTTGTACTTCTACTAATTATTTTTTATAGAAATAATTCTGAAGTTTGAATATTATACGCATAATTCATCTATTAAATTCACAAATGTGTACTTTATTTTCCTTTATTTGTTTTCGCATATGGGAAGTTTAATTCGCAGTAAAACATACCACTGCCATGTGGTTTCATATAATTTGTACACCCTTGCGGCAATATTTATTTATTTACATACAACGCAACCTTCACCGCCAGCTTCTAGTTCAGCAACAAATGAGCAGAACTCTTGACCTTTTTTGACCATGGAGTGGAGCAGCGCGCGCAAAAAATGAACAAAAACTTTTATAAATTACTGTCAGTAGCACTGACCTCAATATGAAATTACAAAACATAACTTGAACAAATATACTCATACACAGAGTGCAATAGATACGAGTGTAATTGCATTTTACTTGGTTACAAAAGCTAGGAAAAAACCTCACAAAAACCGGACCAACCACAGAAACACAGAAACGCACATGGATATGTAAACCTTTTTTTTTGCTGTGACCTCAGCTGCTATAATTATTGCCATTTTTTGCTGTTCATGCATAATACCATACGTATATTTGTGTGCCAGAAAACGGGTCAGTCCAAAGTCAACATTAGTTTTATCACAGGGCAGATCACAGCACAGGGTTTGGAGAGGAGACTCGACAATAACAACAGCAAAAGCAAAAAGGCGAATCTTAATGAAACACAAACTAGACAGGGCTTGGGAAGGGGGGAAGGCGGAAGTGTGCACTGGAGAGACCGCCACAGAGCCCCCAACACACAAAACAAACAACAATAAAAACCGCATGGAATAAAAAGTCACAGCAGAATTCTCATTAAACGAAACAAAAATGTCAACAAATTTGTACCGAAAATTAAAATCGTAAAAAATTTTACTTTTGGGTGCTGTGCAACGAAGATCTTTTACTCTTTAAACTGAAAGTTTTAGCAAACAAATAGTAAACAGGGGGTTCTTCTACGAAGCAGATTAAGTAGATATTCATAGTTAATTTTTTTCATTATCAAATAAAATAAACAAAACATAAAACTTCTTTATTTTCCTAAAAATTTAAGTAAATATCAAAAAATTCGCAAGTGAATTTGCAAGTGAACAAACTGCATGATATTTATATATTGAAATAAACTAAATTCAAATCTACATCAATGCCTGTTTTGTTACCAACAAATCCTGCTTCTCGTCATGCCCCAATATATGCCAGAAATCTGCCTACTGCCTTGTCCCATATGCAACATTACGTAGGCGTGGTCAGCGAAAAATTTCATACAGCCTTTGCGCTGGATAATCGCAGACAAAAACAAAAAAGTAATCGCAGCCAGAAAGACACCAAAAAATAGAGGAGCACAGAAGAGCTTTTCTCTGAGCCATGGCGGAAGTTACTTTCTTCTTCTGGTTCCCTTCTTTTTTTTGTGTGGTGCTGGCTGGCTGTGTGATGAATGAGGCTGTGCGGAGGAGGATGTGCACAATGCCACATACTCCTACAGAGGCAGCCCACTTGGGAGTCGATTTTTCATTTGGCTTACGTATCATCAACCAGAACTTGTCTCTCCCCCCCCCCACCTATCTCTCTCTGTTCGTTTTGGTAGTCGTATCTCTGCCTGACCAATTCCATTGTCGTCAACGTCGTTCTTCTTGTTCTCCCTTCTGCCTTCTGCCTCTTCCTCTGCCTGCGCCACTTCTAAGCTCTTGTCTTGGCTTGGACTCGGATTTGTGTGACCATCTCTCTATAGTGACTCTCCATCGGGCTGTCACACTTCCTCCTCTGTGCCCCTCCACTCTCCACTCACAATCTCAGATCTTTTGTTTCCATTTGTCGCTTTAAAGCTTTGCGCCTCAGTTGCTGTTTTTTTTTCGTATTGTTGCTGGCTGTATAGTTTTTGGGTTTTTTCCGTATCCTCATTGTCTACTCATCACATCTTATTTCTTTGGCTTTGCTTTTATTTTGGTACACGGTATTCGTGGAGTATATTGTGTTTTTTAGCAGAGAGAGGTATTTAATAGAAGGGAGAATGAAATCTAGAAACCCCTGAAAACATCTGAAAGTCTTACTGATTCTTTGTAGGTCTAGAGTACTCGTAAAAGCCAAAAGTAAACATACAAATTGTAATTGTTTAGTGCTTCTACGATTCCCACAAATAAACCCGTAATATCCTGTAGTAGTGGAAAATTATTAAGATATTATTTAAGCCTTTTTTCCAACTGCAGAATATTGTTTGAATATTTTTCAAATCATTTTACCGGGTGTTGTTTAGTCTTCAGATCTACTCGATCGTTCCCATTTGATTGTTGCTTCTGCTGTTCTGTTATTGTTTGCCTTTTGATAAATTGTGCGCCTTTCGTTCTGACACATGTCAGCGTTTGTCTGCTCTGCCCAAATGTGTGGGGTGGAGCGGGAACTCTACATTTGGGCTGAAAAATTCGTCTAGGCTGTGCTGAAAAGACCCCCAAAGGTTATTGCACTTTTTTTGGTTTTTTTAATTTGTTGTGCACTTTTTTCCCCCCACACTAAAGTCTGTCCACACCTTTAACCTCAATCATAGCTCTGCCTCTGTGTGGCGACCTTTAACCGCAAGCAGATCTTTGCCTGAACTTTAGTTTTAGTTATATTTGTGTGGTAGATGTTTTTCTTGCTGACATTTTCAGGCCTGTCTGTCAGGGCGCCTCAGCTCAAGGCCCTGTGGCTTCGTCCGAGGCCTGAACCTATGTATGCCCGAGCACCACATGTATATGTCCTGTCGGAGTATGTCCGGGTACCGTGTTCTGTCCCGTCCTGTATACGAGTATTCCCGTGCCCATGTTTCGTGTCCGTGTCCGTGTCAGACGTCACTTTATGCGCCTGACAGCGGCAACAATTTTATTTACTTAATTTGGCTTTAGTTTGTCATTTATTTACTTGTTTGCCACAACAACAGTTGGCCAAAGTGTCCGGTGTCGTCCTGATCCTGTCCCTCCATCCCGCCATCCCGCCTCTCTCCCGTATCTTTACTTCTTGTACAGATCTCTGGACTCACTGCGACGAGTCGTGTGCGTTGCTAATGTCTGTTGTTGTCACTTTGACGCTGACGTTGATGTTGTTGCAACTGTTGTTGCTGCCGCTTCCGCTGCTTCATGACTTTGCTTTGGTTTATTTTTTTTGTTTGGGTAAAAAAGAGTATTTGGAGTTTTATGATCTGTTTGGCTTGGAAAGGGAAAGGTTACTAAATATTTAATTATCCACAGATTATATTACATTACCAGATTATAATTTAATCCTCTTTAGATGGATTTTTATTGCGTACTGGCCTGGAAGTATCTGCAACTATATGGATACTTTTGTATGTGGATATCGTCAGGGCATTACCCTATTCGTATTGTCCGCTCCTACATCTATCAAGGTCCCTTCTCATTTGGTTTTATTTGTAGCACGGTGACACATTTTGCTGCCCGCACTTTATTGCATATCGTTGTCGGTGTCGGCTGCTCCTGTTCCTGTCGCTGTTCCTGTTGCTGTTCCTGTCGCTGAATTCTGCTGGCTGTTGTCTGCCTGTCGGAGAGAGGAGCGTGCCATTGAATTTTTTATGAGAATTTAGAGCAAAAGTTGCTTCTGTTTCTTTGTTTGTTGTTGGAGCCGTTTTGTGTGCTGCTGTTGCACTTTGGAACTTTAATTAAATATTTATTTCAATCATTTTCGGCAAATGGAAGGAGAGCTACAAAATCCATTCAATGTCAGAGTGAGATCTCACACACACAGCCACACACACACACACAGGCAGTGGGTAGTGGGGTGGTGAACGGAGGGGGACAGGGCACTAACATTTGTCATTACACATTAATAGCGCACCATTAATCTTTTTCGGACCGGGCCGAGTGTGAGAGCCGGGTCAGAATGAATGCCACTACCGGGGTCTGGACCTGGACCTGGGCCTGAACCTGAATCTGAATCTGAACCCGAGCCGCGTCGCAGTCGTCGTCTGTCGCACAAAACCGTTAATTAATGTATGCCATTTAGCTGGAAAATTGCAAAAGGGAAACCCTCCCACAGACACGTACACGGATCCGCAGCGGAGCTAGCGATGGCACTCTGCCGAGAGTCACGGAATTGGAATTGGAAAGTCGAATGAGCACGTAGGGCAGTAGATCTAACACATTGAGGACTATTTGGAGCGAACTGTCAACGGGAGAAGCCCGGCTATGGCTATTTGCTGGAGATGGCAGCGTGATGGACTCACGAAATGTGAAATAAATATTCAAAAATTGACTCTGGAAAGGGGAAAAACCATTGAAGACTGGGAGCTCGCTTACAGAAATTAATAAACTATCGAAAGAATTTAAATATGTATATCCCATTTATCACGAGTGCCAATCACGCTGCCACCACTGCCGCACATGTGTTTTGTCCGGCCCATCATAATGAGCGCCAATTTAGTGCCCTTTTGAGCGGGGGCAGCCGCTGGAATGAGGGGTGGCTGGAAGGTAGTTGAGTGGGTGGGTGCTGGCTATGAATGGGCTTTGGGTAGATGGGGGGAGGAGTCCTTTTCGCCACCGCAAACAAGCAAAGGCAAAAGCCGCAGCAGCCGACGGGGCTGAGCTCCGTTGCCCAGCAGGTATGCTTGATTAATGCTTTATAACAAGCAGCGCACACACACAAAGCCCCCGCTCTGAATGCACAAAAGACCCCCAGACCACGGAGTTCCATAGAACACCACACTCATTGGCATTTGTGTCGCCGTCGTTCTTGCATTTTAACATTAATTTAGTGGAATGCTGCAGGAGACTAGAGAAGCTTCTCAGCCGTCGTCGACACATGTTAATCCCACCCAATGTTGTTGGTCTAATTGTTGCTATACCCCTCCCCGCCCCTACACCACAAAATACCCCCAAAAACACTTGGAATTGGTAATGAGGGGCTGGGTCCTTGTAAGCTTTGATTACTCGGGCTTTGATGATGGTTTCCAATCGATTTGGTTTGAAGGAAATGGCAATGCTTATTGCAGATGTTCCTACCAAAAAAAAAAGCCATTAATGGACAAAACATTCCACTAACAGAACTTCAGGTTTAATAGTCAATTACAGTATTATAATTTATAATTAATATTCAACTAATTTAAAATAATTTTTGAGCAAAATAAAATAAAGTACTGAAACATCCCGGGGTCTTGAATGCGTTTGGTTGTTGTTATTTTTTTTTGAAAGGGGAATTATCCTCCAAATTATCGAACTTCATATCCGATTTCCGACTTTGTCTCAATGATTTCCTCACCGATTGTCTGAGCTTGTCCCTGTAATTGCAAAGAATGGAGAAATAAATAATTATAAATCGAATAGCATAAAATATAAAGCACAAAATTAATTCTAGAAATAGTAAACTTAAATTAAAGCCAATATTTAATGCATTCGTTATGCTCTTGCTGTCTCTATATCTTTTTTGATGCCTTTCCAATACCTCAAAGAAAATCATTTCCAGCCGAGTGAAAATGAAAACGATTTGCCAGTTACAGTTTCCCAACTGGTGGCATGTCCGACTCTGTTTTCAACTGAGAATCCCATCGCCTGCGGCGCTGTTTTTTCTAGCTTAATTTAATTAAGAAATTACAAACTCTGAGATCTTGTTTGAACATTTGAACCTCGTTTCGTCTGCCCCGCGACAAGCCAGATTATTATTATTTTTACTCCTTCACGCTGCACTTTTCTTCTTTTTATTATCATATTTTTTTTAAATGCATATTTTTTTAAATTCCTATTCCTGCAGAGCTTTTTGCCCTTGAGTGCTTCCTGTGGCGTTCGTTCATTAGGGAAAAGCGGAAGAAAGGCAACGAAGCGGCGGGAAAAAGTTGAAAAAAAATCGCGAGAGAATGTTTAAATACAGCTGCTCGACCATGAAATACCTTGGTTATCATGGGAGAACTTGGAGGATATACGCGAAAATTAGCTTATTAAATGGGTATGTGCTTAAAATTTCCAAAGTATTTTTATGAGATTTTTAACTATTTTAGAGACTGGGAACATGGAGTTAAAATTTGATTCACGCCTCCACAATAGACCCTAGTCGACTCTCCCAGCTGTCGGTTATAGAAAGCTAAAGCTAAAATGAAAATTGAACAAAATACAAAAAAAAAAACAGAGTGTGTCTAAAGAGTTGAAAGGTTTATTCACTTTGCCGTCTGTCGCTGGTGGGGGTGGGGGCGTGGAGACACATTTTCCTAGCCGAACATTAAGTAATTATAAGTTGGAGCCAGGAGTTGGCTCAAAAGTTGCAAGTTGGCATCTGCATCTGGCCAAACATATTGCCTGCCGACAGAGACAGGCATACAGCACACACAAGCACACACACTGCGTATGCGTAATGTGTTGAATAATTAAATTGTCAAACAATTGCCTTTGAACAGAGAGGGCAAATGGGAGAGAGAGAGAGAGAGAAACCTCTAGATGAAGATGATGACAAGAAAATGTTGACTCAACTGGGATTTATTGTCTGGCTGGCTGGCTGGCTGGCTGGCTGTCCGCCGCTCATCCTGCTGCAGCCTGCTGGAAGCTGGGAAATGCTTAATTATCTTTAATTGAATAGCACTTGATGGCAAAATACTAGACCAAACTGTCAATTGAACCACGAACAATGGGCATTATTTCTAATCCATTTTAATCTCCATCTGAATTTGCATTTAGTTTTTGTGGCAAAATTCATTTGGCTCGCTGATGGGTTTCAATTTCCTTGTCATCATCAAAATGTTTTCAATTAAACTGTATTTATTATTCAGCAGATAAAGGCAACAATGAATAAAGTACACCGTAACTCTGCACTTTTTTGGGTGGGATCAATTTCGTGTTAAGCAAACAAATTTTAATTGACTAGCCGCTAAAGTGTGACTGGTAATGGTACTCGTAACTCGTCTCTATCATATGAACAAGTTTATGATTTCCTTCCAACATTTATTTCTATTCTATGCTCTGTTCTATGCTCTGTTCTATGCAAGTGTGAATCACGGCAAAAAGCTTTTAGTCAGATTGCCAGGATTTACTATTGCTTTGGGGTGAAGATTTAACCGCAAATCTGTTGAGTATGAAGCGCATAGGAACGATGGAAAGATGATTTGATGGGTGTGTGTTGCATTTGCACTGTGGCTAAAATAATCTATTCATTTATGAACTATAATAGCTATACGGCTGTATAGCAAATTCATTTTAAATGTATTCTAATCAGGGAGTTGCCAAAAGGAGTCTTAACCAGAAAATGGCATCAAGGGATTCCTCTTGAGTTGCTCACAATTTTAGTGTTGATTCTCTGTAGAGGTTTATATATTTTAATCAGGCTTAAATTACCGTAAGCTGCCGATACACTTACCAGTTCTTCAGGCCTGCTTCATCGGCATCGTCTACCGGGACAGGCTCCTCATTCGCAGCATCGTCCTCATTGACCTTCTCCTCCTTCTTGTCGGTGTCTTCTGCATCGTCGCCCGGCTTCTCCTCTCTGGACTCTTGTTTGGCCATCTCAGGTCTAACAGCCATGGGCTTTGGCTTGGGCTTGGGCCTGAAAGCTTCTTTGCTGAGCGGAGCGATGCCAAACCATTCGGGCTTGAACTGCTCGAGCGTCTCCAGGCGCAAGGCTGCCCGCTCGGACCAGCAGTAGGGCAGCTCCTTCTCGGGCACCATGACGACCTTCAGTCGGGCATCCGATGCCGCCTGCACGCCTTTGATTGTGCCGTCAAAGACCAGAGTGTTATCGGTGTCGGCCTCGCCCAGGCGGCACATGGCAATCAGATAGACATCCGGCTCCGGCTTGGGCTGCTTCAATTGCGGATCGTCGGCGCAGATCAGCGTTTCGAAGAGCTCAAAGAACTTTTCGTAGCCGCGGATCTTCTTGCAGTAGAGATCCTCGCAGCTGGAGCTGATCAGCGCCATTCGTATGCAGCATTTGTGAAGGTGGCGGACGAGTCGCTCCGCGCCGTCCATCAGCGGCGGATTGCTGATGAGCGCCGAGGCTCGCTCGTTGATCTCCAGCAGGAATTGCTCCCAGCTCACGGGTATATTGCACTTCCTGACAATCAGCTCCGCCATCTCACTCGTCGCCATGACTCCCACCTTGAGCAGCACCAGTTCTGGCACCACACAATTGTAGCTGGCCGCCAGCTCAAGGACTGCACGTCGATAGACGTTGCGCGTATCTACAGGATGGGAGAGGAGGCATTGCCAATTGGGATTGATCTCTGCAGGCAGTGGGGCAGTCGGAAAACCTCTCACCAAACACGGCACTCTCCAGATCGAAGATGCAGTAGCATGTCCGCGGCTCGCAGCAGGCGGGGGGACAGCAAATGGGGCAACCCGGTGGTGGTCGGCGGACTTTGTTGCACATTTGGCCCGTAAAGAAAAAGAATTTTTTTTTAATATTTAAAAGAAGTTACCGAATTTTAAACTAGAAACTGACAGTTAAAACTTTTGGCAAATTTTGGGAACCGAACGCGATTGAGGGAACTCTGAAGGGTTTTCCCCTCCCTGCACAGAATATCAAACTGAGTCATGAGCTTTTAGCTTCTCTGCTTTCTCTCTCTCTCTGCGCTCTGTGTAAGCAAAGCTGCTTGAGAAATGCTGCTGCTTCACGTGCAGCCGCTGCATCGTTTAGAACAGAGGCCGGCAGCGTCGTATGCACTGTGCATAGGAAAAAATCTCAGGCAGCGCAGTCGGCACACGTACAGCGTACAAGCGTATAAGCCTAGATCGGTTCGGCTGCCGCAGCGGCAGAGAACTAACTTCGTGTGCCCTATGCACAATTCTTCGGCTTTCGCAGCGGCAGAGAAATAAGTGAAGTATTTGCCTTGATGCACAAACGCACTAAAACATGAGAGTGGCTTAGAAGCACCTTTAAGTTCTAGTTTACAAGCCAAGACTGCTTGGATCGTGAGAGAGAGCAAGATCCCGCTCTCAGTGCGCTGTAAACGGGAGCGACTACATGCTGTTACGCTGGGCTGTTAACAGCACTGTTGCCTTGTTAGCGCTGCTGCCTGAACAGTAACGAATTCCATATTGTGTTTTCGTGTGAGAACATTTAATGCACAACAAATTTAATACGCTGCCCTGCGATCCCTTCGATCTTTGGGTTGTTTGAGAGCTCTGAACGAAGCATCATGCTCCTCCTTAGAGCGGTGGCAGTCCAAAGTATTGCGGCCTGAATGCCTCCAGCGATCGCAGTCTCAGTGCAGCCGGAGCACTCAGTTGGATGGAGAGCAGCGGATCTGGCACGAGCACCACCTGCATGCCAGCGTTCAAGGCAGCCTGCATGCCTAGCAGCGAAGACTCAAAGGCCAAGCAGTTCTCGGGCTTGGGGGGATCCTTGAAACGCGAGGCGGCCAAGAGGAATATGTCCGGCGCGGGCTTGCCCTGCTTCACCTCCGAGTCGGAGCTGCCGACGACCGCGTGCTGGAACACCTCAAAGAGCTGCGCATGGGGACGCACCTTGAGCTCGTACAACTCTCGATTGCCGCTCGTCTCTATGGCCATGGGCACACCGGAGGTCTGCAGGTGGCGCAGGAGCCGCTCCACGCCCGGCATCAAGCCCACCGAACCCAAGTGTTCCCGACTGTGCTGCTTGTGGAGCCGCTGGAACTGCGTGCGGCTGATGGGCAGTTGGTAGCTGTCGATGATCAAGTCCGCGGACTCCGATGTGGATTTGCCCATGCAGCGCAGCTTCAGGTCAAAGCTGTAGATGTGGCCAAACGGATCGAGAATCTTCTGCACCGCCCGCGTGTACAGGCGCTCGCTGTCGAGCAGCAGGCCGTCCAACTCGAAGATGCAATGGGTCACAGGTCGAAAGCAGCAGTGCCGCGACGAAGCCGCCAGTTCTGACATATCTTCTCTTCTCTTTTATTTTTTTTTTGGGTTTCTACGCGTGCAATTTTTATTATATTAATTCTACTGAAATTTATGTTGAATTTTGATGGATGAAAACGGATAGGGAGCTGCCTATCCAAATTCAAACTTTGAACAGGTGTCGTAGTGGGGCAGACCGAATAGTTGAGGCTGAAACTCCGCCATCGAGTCGAGCACCTGAGTGGCGCCACTCCGCATTGCCGCGGGCACTCGGGGATCGGGTATCAGCACCACCTGCATGCCAGCCGCAATGCCCGCCTGCAGGCCGTTGGGCGAGTCCTCGAACACCAGACACTTGCTGGGCTCGGGCGGCGGGTGGAAACGGGAGGCGGCCAGCAAGAAGATGTCCGGCAGTGGCTTGCCCCTGCCCAGCCCCAGCTCCGGATCATTGCCACAGACAACGTGATGCAGCGCCGGCAGCAGATTCCTGTGCGGCGCCGACTTGGTATTGAAGGCGGCCCGCACCGAGCTGGTGGCAATGGCCATGGGGATGCGATGATCGTGCAGGTGCAGGATCAAATCCCTGACACCCGGCATCAGCTGCACATTCTGGATGCGCCTAAAGACCACAGCATCGAATATCTTGAGGTACTCGAGGGGGGTCAGTGGCAGCTGCAGCTCCGTGACCAGCTGTTGAGCGGACTGCATTGCCGGCATGCCCATGTACCGCAGCTTCATCTCATAGGTGTAGGTCTTGCCGAACGGCACGACAATCTCATTGATGGCATCTGTGTAGATATTTTCGGTGTCTTGAGTGGGAGAGAGAGAGAGGGAGGGTAGCTAATGAATAGCCCAATGGATAATCCAGGAAGGTATGTGCCCATACCCATGACGGTGCCATCACTGTCGAAGATGATGTGCGTGACGGGCTTGTAGCCGGACTTTGCAGTCATGATGGGGCCTCCTCCTCCTCTGCCAGCCACTACGACATGCTGCTGCCAAGGCTGAGACTTGGAGATTTAGTTTGAAAATTAAATTTTGAAGGCTAGGGAAAAGATTACCTTTTGCCGATCAAAGCAACTGCTTTAGCCATTTCTCAAAGGTTTTAATTAAACAATTTAGACACTGCCGCCAACACTGCCGCCGACGCCACGTCTCTGGCTGCGAATACTTTGGCAACTTTTCGAGAATTTCCACCCACCACTGGGTGCAGCACAGATGCTGCAGATGCTGCAAAGTCTCCCGAGTTCGGGCTGCAGCTGTCACTTTTGTGTTGGCGCCTCTTGGGGAGGGGGGAGGGATAGCTGCATTTTTATACATTTGACTAAGTCTAATGCATGCGGCGCACGCTTGCATTGGCATGCCAGGGTCCCAAGCTGCACCCTGCGTGTGCCCCGCCTTCCGCATGTTGTTACAAAGTTGCGTAATTGATTAAGCAGTTGCCAGCCATGCCACAAGACGCAAGTTGCGGCAACGCGTCGCCGAAACTTTGGCTTAGCCAATACGTGCCACCGAATGGTGAATGGCGGCGGGTGGGCGGTGGCGGTCAACATGTGGTAAAGGCGCAACCAAAGTTTGTTGATTTTGTGCGTTGCGGCGGGTGGGGGGTCAAAGGTGAATGCAACGTGATGCTCGATGCGGTGATTGGCTGGGGGTTTGGCTGGTGTCGAGAACGTTTAGCGGATATTGAAAGCTTATTCAGAACTCTACAATATTTGGCGCTTCAGAAAGTTATACAATATTCTGCGATATCCATAATTAAACCCACAAGAAAATGCAACTTGGGCCTCAATAAACCCCACAATAATCGCTGGAAAAGTGCACGGAAAATGCGCACTTCTTCGTGCCATTCAGTCCGCTGACCGCATTGTCTATCGAGTCAAGTGCCAAGTGCAGTCGCGGATTCCACTTTTATTACCTTTTATTGGCACTCTTTGCGGCTCTCTCTCTCTCTTCCTGCAGTCAAAACCATTGACCGTAACGCATTAATGTCCTGTGGGGGGGCCCAGCCCAAAATCGAAGCGACTCCAGAAGTTTTACGTTCTGGCAATAGCTTGGTTGGTTGGTTGGCTGTTTGGCTGCTTGGTTGACTGGTTGGGTGGATCGCAGCGAATGGCTAACTGGTTGGCTGAGCTTGCATATTTTATGGCCCAAAGTCCAACTTTAATTGGAACAATACCAATAAATGCCAAATGCAGAGAGAGAGCCAAAAAGTTTGATGCGCATTGACCGGGTTTCGGCGGAGCCAAATCGAGTGTCCGCAATCAACTTAAGGGGACAGGACACAGACCCAGGGGGCAGGCAGGCGGCACAGCCACAGCGACCACAAGGATAACAACGGCATTTGGAGGCAAGTTTTGTGGTTCCACGAGCGGTGGGGGTGGGGGGGGGAGACGGAGACCCAGCGGCTGGCGTAGACAACGCGACGAGCAACCAGTTAACAATTCAATGAACGCAATTACAGCACACAGATTGAGGCGTGGGGGTGGGACTGGGCTGCTGCTGAGCCTTGCCACACGTTGGCGCACGTTGCCAGGACAGCGATTAGAGGACGCGTTCAAATTAAACGTTTACAGCATATTGTTGTTGCCCAGCCGGCCGGCCGGCTGTTGTCCCTTGTGGCCGGCCAGCCGACAAAATGGCAGAAAAAAACAAAACTCCTGGCCATAAATGCTGGCGCCCCAAAATGGTTGCCTGCATAATTTATGCGCTCAATTCGTCGCTGCATTCGAATGATGCTCCCGGCACTCATTCGGCCGCAACAGCTGACACGCAGACTCCTCCATGCCGCTGCCACAGCCCGCGTCTGGGGTGTCCGTCCGATTAATTAAAAGGCATTTTATTGACTGAAAGACAGTTGTGGGCAGGGAATGAATGTGGATTGGCTTTTGTGCCCAGTACCTTGCTGAATGTAACCAGCAAATTGATTTAGCTGATTTGGCATTTGAAATTTTGTGATTTGCGATGCAGGAAAATATAGGAAAAGGAAAATAAAGGAACGCATCACTCGAACCTTTAAAGTTCCCAAAGTAGAGACAGCATTCTGCGCATAAATAATTCCCCAGATGCATCCCCCGCCCGAATCCTATACGGACCGACACCGACCCTGACCCTCTGGGCCACCGCAAAGGAATACCAAATTGAATAAATAGTACGAGTATAATCTCCCAAAGAGTAACCCAATATCCGCAGGCAACCTACTCCATGGAGGGGAACTCCTTTGGCACTCAATAAATGCCATCCATCTATGTATGAGGAAGGCTCAAATGTCAGTCACATATTCCCTCAATCATCACGACTGCTCCGCTCCGCTCTCTCTCTATCGCTCTTGAGCGATTTCCCAAAGGGTCTGCAAACTGCAACAGTGTCCGGGAAATGGGGGGCTGGAAAACATGGGCACAAAGTCCAATTTGTTTGTAATGGCATTACTTTGTTTACGAAACAAATTTTGTATGCATAGCGAGTAGTCCTCCTAGTCCAAGTCCTCGCTGGGTTCTTGCCCCATGCTCTCTATCTTCAGTCTCTGGGAGCGGGTCGAGAGGTGACCCATGCAACAAACGATGCAAAACCCAACTCGCAACTCTGCCGCGGGTGGTAAACTATGAGTGGGGAGAACAACAACAACAAAATACAACTGGAAAATTGGCAAATAAAATATATATATGCGAGCATGTGTACATATATACATATATCTAAAATCGTTGTACCATAAAATTTCCCCAATGGACGATGCTGGGAGTTTTCTCGCCGCTCTCCATTCTCCGTTCTGCCTTTTCGCTGTTTAATTTTACAATTGTCCTTTTTCTTTATTCCTGACCAGGGAATCGGAGCGGGAGGGAGAGACAGACCTGAGAGTGTGCCTGCCGCTGGAAGGTTGAGAATGGCTGTTCGGGGACGAGGTTTATCTTTGCGCATCCGTTCCGAATGCGGTTTTCTGATTTATGCTTCGTTCTGTGGGCCAACATTTGTTTTTCTTTTTATTTGTAAACCCAAGGAAAAGCTGCGAGGTGAGCGGTAACTTGGTGTACGACAAACCCTAGCTTGATTTCCTTATTTGGTAAATGGAACTGTCATAGAAATTAAATCCGATTTTAAGGATAGGTTTGGATATGATCTATGAACATATTGCTCAAGGAACAACAATCTTTAAAAGTGTCATTAGTGGCTCATGGCTCAGCCTTGAGACTATTATTTAATCCTTCAAACTCTGATTAGAGTTGGATGATTCGACTATGCGAAAAATGGGCAACTTTTGAATGTACTTTGTACACAAGACAAAAACGCAGAGAAGGAATCGTTTCCGACCCCATAATGAAAAAAAATCTGTATGTCTATCTGTCTTGATGAGCGCCTGGATCTCAGAGACTATAAGAGCTAGAGCAACCAAATTTTGATTCCAGATTCATGTGATATCACACTGCTACAAGTGTATTTCAAAATTTCGTCAAAAATGACTGAGTACGGGTATAAAAGTAGCGTCGCGTCCAAAGAAGCGACTCACGCGTTCCTTCTCTTTTTTAATTTTTTTCGTTTGTTTGTTTTTATTCTCAGACATAAACCTTTTGGTGGCATTTTTTTATGAACAAAATAAGCTACTAATAAAATTGTCCAAAGAATGCTAAAGGTGTGATTTTTTTAAAGTAAGTTTACCCCATGTTATATTCCACCAAGCAACCCCATCGAAACATCTCTATCTCTAATCTATCTCTAGTGGTAGGTACATTTGATAATATTATTCCGTTTATTTAAGACCTTTCAACTATACAATTTCTAACCACATTAGTCGTGGTTACTAAAGCATTACTTGAACAAATCTTTCTTCAATTGCAAAACGACACAAGAATCCCAGATATACTCGTATTTCTCTCTCTACAAATACATGTGGTGTATCTATGTATCTGGTGGACACGAATCCTGTTGTATCTTCATCATTTTGCTTAAAACAATGCCAGATTTTCTGGCCAAGGCCTGAGCCGTATATATTATATCCGATGCAGGCAGACGAATGCGAGTCTGGATGGCGGCCCAATCTAAAATTAATGCTTAGCTATAACTGTGGCAGTCAAAATCATAATTCTTGCACTTACGAAAGCTGAACACGGAGGCAGAATCAAAGCACATGTAGCGTATGGCAAAGTTGTCATAGTCCGTGTCCAGTATATAGATCTGAATGCCCTGGGGAAAGGCTAGCCACAAGATTGTGGGCATTATTAAGGGTTATATATAGACAGTGCCGTGGTTTTCCTACCCTTATTTTTGGTCATTAGATCGTATCGCCCGTGAGCTGGATCAATATTTTTGATATCCTCGTTTCTAGTCTTCACTGTGTCGGTCCTGTCGAAGGGAAGGTTAGCGAAGATTTCCGTTTTGTGTTTTCTCATTTGCTTACTTGGTGTTTAGCTCTTTGCTATGAATGAAGTAGTGTTTATCGTCTTTTTTTCTGAACTCCGCCGACTGACACTTGGACACGCGTTTCTTAAGACTCGGATACGCGGAATACGTGTACCATTTGCCCAGGAAACGTTCCATGTCAAAGTCCCCCACAGCTGTCATATTTGCGGAGCAAGGACCCTCAAGGACGATAAGTGCCAGAGAGGATGGCATGTAAATGTACACCAGGATGGCAAAACTGTTGAATGAAAGTTATTTTTAAGGATATTTACTGCGGTCTGTTGGATACTTACACGGAGACCTGCAGCATGATCATGTTGCAAAGGTTTCTATCGGAATGAATCGTAATTAAGTGCAATTGAGTCTGGACTAAACCGATTGGCAGTGGATTGGCCAGAAACTAAAGACAATTTCATGGTGGACTTACAACAATTTGCAGAGTGGATATTGCAGCCCAACTGTGATACAAAAAGGTTAAACAGTTGGCCACATCTTAGCGACGAACGTTGAACTAAATCTGGAAATCCCTATTAGATCTATGGAGACTTTCCCGTAACCGAAACTATGTTTTATTTTATTGCATTAACAATCAATTGCAGTATTATTTAACATGTGTCTATCCATCTACATTTGTGTGTGTATCTATGTACAAGGTTCGAAGACAGTAAATTTAGGAACTCATAAAGTTCAGAAAAATATTGTAGAGACGCACGTAGAAGCGTCGCAGCCATTCTCATGCCTTCTCGATGGCATTTGGCAGCACAGTGCCGACAAAGTCATCGATGGCATCCTCTGTCAGATCTTCAACGCCGAAGTCCGTGCCATTTGCATCCAATTTGGGGCACTTGCTCTGAATGGTGTCGATGAGGAAGGACTGCGATATTTTATTATTATCCAAAATCTGTTTGGCTGTCGCAATGGTATCTGCTGAGGGCTCACGCTCACGGGTTAAGATCCAAACGATCTCTGTAAATGTAAATGTAGGATAGATATTTTGTTAGACATTGTAGTTGGCATAAAGGCAGCAAGTTGTACAGTGTGTGCTCATGCCAAAGCAGACAAGTCAACCGCCTTGCATAATAATTATCGAGTAGACTTCCTCATACATCTATACTTACTGATATTAGCCAGAGATGTCACGCTAGTGCAGCTATAGACAACGGCGTATGACTCGTAGTCGGTGCCCAGAACCAGATAGTTTGGTTTCGTCGTTTGCTCTACAAATTTGGGCATAGACAATAGATCAATAGGGGTAAGCTCTACAAGTAGGAGATAGAATGCGGAACACTTACGTCCCGGGTAAAAGGCAACGGCCAGCCGAGCAGGGCCTAGCACCTTGGCTGTTCCAGTTATGTTCGATGGGTTGCCAGTGCTGCATAGATTATACGTTATTAGTTGTGGCTTTTATTACATGTATTTTTCCCCCAACTTACAGTCGATTGATTCCCCCATTCACCACGGACAGGGTGGAATTGTCAATGATCGAATAGTTGGCGTAGATGCACTTCTTGCCGATTTCAAATGCAAATGGATACTTGCTATGCTCGTACCAGATGCCCAAGTACTGCACATAGTAGTATATTAAATATATATTTATTTCTATGGCAATTGTTTTTGTCACAGCAGCTGGTTGGTTTCCTCTGAGTACCTTGTTTGTGTTTGTTTGTATCAAATAGTTTTCGGTGTATTTAGCTTGATTAACAGTACAAACTAATCAATATGTTTATCTTATCTATTTGTTGAAGAACCCCTCTTGAGAGGCTCCCAAAACTACTTTGTAATAAAAGTTAATTAAATTTTGTTTATGTTATTCCCTAACATTCCAATCCCTTTCATCGCCATTATTGTGATAGAGTTGCATATTATTTGGCGGTAAAAAATACTCCACGACCCAGGGAAGTTTTACTTTCTTTTTTGTTGATCACTGGCTTGTCTTTCTTCCGATTTCCCATACCAAAAATGTGGCTTATTATTTATGCTCCTATCTACACATACATATGCTCTTCTATCTACTCTTTTCTAATCTTATCCATTATCTATGAATAATTATAACTCTTTAATTTCGCACCTCTAAATCCGGCTGTTTGCTTCTACTTTCTTATTTATCACTAGTGTAAAATAAAATAAACATTTTATAAATCTCTTCTTTTATTTTGTATATCACCTTTAAGTTTCCGACTCAAAACCTCTCTAAACAAACTCGAACATAAACATAGACATAAACAAAACACTCACCGCTTCCACATCGAATTCATCCATTATTTTGACCTGCGGACACTGTCCGGGAAAGGGAACTTGAGACCAAACTCCATTGCCCGCCAGCAGTCCGATAAGCAGCAAGAAATATAAACTGTAAGCGTGATTAAGCACGGTGTAAATAACTGTAAAATGTGCGCAAACAATTAAGAGACATACCCCGAACGCTGATTAATCATTATGGATTATGGAGAGAGATGCTGCTTGCTACTGCTTGCTAGATTCACTTTTCAAAACGATTACTGTTCTACTTCTGACTTAGAACTGGGGCTGCAGTGCAAATGCAATACACCTTTATATGCTTGTGGGGAGAGCTTTTCGCTCTGGGCAGCTAGCTAGGTAGACGCCAGACGGCGAGAGCTTTTCGATTGCGCCGACGCTGCTTGACGAATGCAAACAAAAGTGAAATGCAGACGATCTGAATGGAGAGAGAGTGAGAGAGAGAGTGCAGAGTCTATGCGTATGTCAAGCAGTGCTCTCGTTACACTCTCTGAGCGCGGTACGCGGAATTATAATTTACATCATTTAATGGCGAAACTATATATGTATGCAGAACTTTTGCGATAGTTCTCTATAGATAAGGGCTTCCGTGTGCTAAGCGCAGCAAGCAGCATATCAATTGTCAGCGATCAAATAAAGTAGTTCAATGTCCTGAATATGGTGAATGGAAACGTGATATTTAGACTAGAGAATTTCAGAGAGATATATTAGGTCTGCATGATATATGATGTACTTACATATATATACATACATACTTATGTACATACGTAAAATATATTTATTTATCATTCTGACCAAATATATGCAAGTTTGCTAATTTTTCAAACAATCAGTAAAGAATGTTTTCATGTTTTACAAACCAGTTGATAGCTACATAAGTATATACTTTAATCTACTTATAATTGGTTGGATCATTCGATAAGGTAGATAGATAAGATAGGTCATCTATAACCCCCCCCCCCCCCGCCCCCCCCCCCCGCCCGCACCCTTTTTCCCCCGCCCCCCCCCCCCCCCCCTTGAGGAAAAAAAGTGGAACATAGCGTTCTATTATCCAGAAGGGACCTGTATAAGGCCGATCATGATCATGATCACAGCAAAGTTCCAAATCAAATCAAATCAATAATCCGTTTAAGTTGGAATTACTTACAATATTGATGTACCAGCTCAATTGCTCATTTGAGCATTTATTCGAATTTAAAAAGAATTGAAATAGCTCTTTGCAGCCATTGAACTTCTGCAAAGACTGTGACAAATCACCATGCGTATATTTCACAATGGTGTTGCTTGGCATCTATCATGTCCACGACCTCAATATCGTGCTTGATGAGTACATTCTGAGCAGCCATGATGTGCGCACCCGGCGGCTTACAGTGTCTAGTCATTATCCAAGCGCCAACTATAAGATTAAGGATCAAGATTCATATCGGGCTGCAATTGGTTTACGATATCATATACTCTCACAGTAATGGCTGTCGTGCTTGTGCTTGTTGCAGGTGACCATGACCGCATAGGAGTCATATTCCACGGCCAGGGGAAACATTTCAAAGCGATCTGGTCGAGTGGCTGCAAGCGGAATCTGTAGTGTCTATATAGACATTTGATTTGTGAACTTACGAATAGGTTTTCTATGTGGAGGATTATCATAGGCTTTGTAAAGAATTTGTAGCATATTAAACAATATTTTTTCATTATTCTTTTTAACTTACAGCTGTTGCGTCGCTTCACCTCGATGGCGCCGGTCTCTTGAACGTATCGTATAACAGTCGAACGGTGCATCACTTTTTTCGAAAATCTTTCAAGCATTTATTTATTATTTATTATATTTATTTATTATAATTATTCGTGTGTCAACTTACTTGTTGTCCAGCAGCAGCTCGAACTCATAGTAACGACCGAACTGGCGTTGATAGATAAAGTGCTGACACTCTAACTGGATTTCGTCATCGAATGGATAGTAGGATTGCACATACCAAGTGCCCAGGAACTTGTTGAACAGAAATATCATTGCAGGAGGCGAAGATTAGGGAGATGAAAATTGCATCTTACCTTGTTCATATTTAAGTGTTTCATGGGGTTTATTATGGGACACATTCCTTGCTGCAAAGTCAGGCCATTTGCACTCTCCCAAAGTAAAATGGGAAAAATTAATATAAAGCTATTCATTGGCTCTATTTTCGATCCACTTCCACCTAAATCTGATGTCAAACTAGCCACAGGTTTAGACATTTCTTAATTCCCATAATATTTGGATTTTCTCTGCTTGATTTTCCATTACAAATTGTTGCTCCCACTCCAACGAAAGCTTCCTGCCCTTGTGTGGATTGCATTCGTGTGGCGCCCTCTCTGGACAAAATCCAATCGCCCAGACAGCGGGCGCCATCTGTTGAGTGCTTTGCCATCGCTTCGTGGCATGAAATTTGTGTGTTTAATTTTTGTTGAGGTTCTTCAGCGGAGGAGACGAATTCTGGTCAGGAAAACCCGTTGACAGTGGCGAGATTTTTGCGGTTTTTTTTGTTTCTCTTTGGCAGCAGAGAAGACGAGAAATGACATTTTCCCATATATTATTAAATTAATTAAATGTAAACCACAAATTGAGTTAAATGTGCAAAAATGCCCGCAGGTGAAGAGCTCTGAAGTGGCATGGACGGTGGGATGATATATGTTTTTTGGTAGGTGGGATTGTAGAGTTTTGAAGGGAATGCTCTTTGCCTGTGTCACAGATGTACGCAGAACGCTTCATGATTAAGAGGAAACCCTTAAAATCCTATAAGAATGGTTTTATCTTGAAGTTTATTTACTTCGAGTTCCTAGGTATTATTTTTCCAAAAGAAACTCTTAGACCCACCTTCGTTGGAGCACATATTTACAGCCGCATAACTAGCGCAGATTTTGAATGGCCAGGCAACTATTTGGAAAAGCGAATTCATAGCGCGTTTCCTCTCTCTCTCTCTCTCTGTTTGAGGTCGTGGAATGAAAGGATTGGGGTTGCCCTATTCGGTTGGATGGGATGGAATGGAATGGTTGCTTGGACCTGTTGTCGTTTGTTGCATGCAGCGTGTAGTAATTAAATTTAAAATATGTACACATTCACCGGACATCTGAGCTTAAAAACAGGTGCAATGCCCGTGGGTGGGAAAGCAAGGGATAATTTGATCAAAGGCACCCATAAGCCGGCAACTGGTAGCCTGATACCCTCAGCCGGGTTGGTTATTAAGGGCCATGAGTGCAGCTTTTGGGCTATGTTCCAGATCTCCGCACAGAGGCGTCGCCGAGTGTCGTCTTTAAAGGGTATATATCTAGATAGTCCCACACACGCTCAAATAAATTTAAATCAGACATTAAATATGATAAGTATGTAGTTTAAGCATATGTATGATGGGCCTATTATTTATTGTGGCTGCTCCCCTTTGGGCCCTGTCACTGCTGTGTGCAACCACAGCCGACAAAATTGACATGGGAGATGAGAGCGTGACTCAGAATATATATTTTTTGATGGATATGCGACCAGCGATAAAAGGTAAATCCATGAGGGATTTCATTAAATGGTTTATTGCTAGGTTTACTATATAAAGGGGTATTGGTATTGGTACTTCATTTCCTTGACTTTTTTCAGCACAAAATCAATAATTTCAAAGTTAAAATGGCAAGCTAGAGAAGCGGATGGAAGCTAGACATACAGATCAAATACAGATCGAAAATGAAACTGCCAAGAAAGGTCATATTGACCGATAAAAACTGAATAAGAAGATTGCATCGGAAGCTTTAGGAATCCTCTAAAATCTAAGCAATTTTAGAATCTGCCATTCCGAAAGCAGAACTTTTTTTTAACTATTATTCACGACTCTTACAGTGTCACGGCAGCATATCCATTAAAATCTCTGCACACACTTCGATCATTTTGCGATTTTAAGTGCTCGAATATTTTGCGGTTATTCATTCGCTTTATGGGCATTTTGTTGAATGTAATTTGATTTAAGCAGCGTTCGGTCTCCTACATAAAAATCAGAGTAGCGGAGTGCAGTGCATCCTGGCCACAGGACAGGACACATGAGAGAGCGTACGTGTGCGTGTGTGTGTGTGTGTGTGTGTGGCTATTTAATTAAGTGGCTACCTTTAAAACCTGCCACCGAAATTGAATTAATTCCGATTATTGTTGCAGTTGCATTGGGTTTATTTGAGAGCACTGCTGCGGGGGGTGCCAGTCTGGTTTGGGGGTCTGCTGCAATCAACAGATGACATAAAAAAGGACTACATAGCCGGAGGGGGTGATAACACTAAACTGTCGGCTAAATAACATCCGAGAGGAGGAAAGCAATAGCCACAGTCGCAACAGTAGCAGCAGCTGTAGCAGCAGCAGCAGGCGGCACTTGCAACAGCAAGTGGGTGGAGACACACTCCGACGACCTTTAACCCAAGCGAACTCGTGGGAGTAGAGATATATGGGCTGGGTGGATAAAGACTGGCAGTAGGGATGGGTAGGGAAGTTTCCGAGAATGCGTGGGAATTGCAAAACATGACGCAATTTGTGCTCGCCTTTGTTCCCCTCTTGCCTGTGGCCCCATTTTGCATGCCATTCTCCTAGGATATTACGAACTGTTTCTCTTCTTTTACATAGGAAAAGCAGCTGAGGGAAACTGCCATGCCATACATCAGCGGAGGAAATGAGGAGCAGCAGATAGCAGCTCTGAGAGAGTTTCAATCTACCGGAAATATGGATGGCTAGTGTTGGGCGATCAAGGGAAGGTACATCATGGGACAACAAATATTCAAGATAATTTGGGATTTATTTATAATTTATTTTACTTTATGCCAAGTCAGTGAAGCGCGATCCAGCGCGATCCTCCAATCAAATAATATAAACATAAGCAAGCAGTGGGTGACATTTAAGTAGATATTGTTGCTCGCCATTCGGGTAAAGTAAATATAAACATTTTGGACATTTGATTCCCTTATTATGCTGATATGGCGTTATGTCTTTGATTCTCGTTAAATTTCTCAATTTTCAAAGCTGTTCAAGCAGACACTCCCATAGATAGGGGAGAGCGAGAGACAGAGCTTGAAGAGAGAGCTTAAGGCCTGAAGAATAAGCTTTGGGATCAGCCTGCACTTCCATGAAGATCTAGAACAAAAGACAGTCTTGAATTGTAAGCTAAGCTTGAAGGAGTATATTAAAGATTAAGTGATTTAAGTTTCTTTTTATTCGATTAGCTCCTCTAATTTTCGGATTTGTGTGAATAGTTTCGAGGGGTAAAATCTTGAATATACGTGAATTGTGAGTATTGCCTACCGGATGAAGTCTGGCACCAGTACCTGTACATCTTAGCTTAAGTATTGAATGGAATAAACTCCCATTAGTGTCAACCGGAAATAGTTCTGTCAGCTTTGAAAATATGTCCACAATTTTTACTGCATTTTCCTCACAACTTTCCTCCCGTAAAACTCTTCCCATCACCTGCCACATGATAAAAGTCATTCACACAGTCATAGCCAAAGTTTTTGCTATATTACGAGTATTTTTTTATATTGCAATCTTTGACAAATTTATTTATTTAGCACATTGTTTTTCGCACTCCTCTCTGCCCCCATTGGCATCAGTTGTTCCCAGCTGCTAAACAGAATAAGGAAAGAACAATAACCACTTGGGGCAGACAACAAAGGGAATGGAACAACATGAACCAGGAGGAGGGGGAGGGGACGGGGGAGGAGCAAACCCTCGAAGAGTATTTTGATTTGTGAAATGCTCGTAAGTATTGTCGTTTTTCGGTTCTGGCTGGCTCCGACGCTGGTGGAAATTTCTTAAATTTTTTATGGCGCATAACCTGTCTGGCACACATGTGCAGCCTCCCAAACTCCCTCCCTCCCTGCACCACCCTCCTTCGCTGTGCAACATGCCACCCACAAGCGGATCCTGTGAGGCTCAAAGTTACAGGACGAAGACGTTGGGGCCTTGTTGGCAACGCTTATTGCATTATCCTCGGCTAGAGACAGACTCAGTGCCAGGGTGAGTGTGTAGAGGGGGCCAAGTCAGTCAGCCAGCCAGCCAGAGTCGTGTGCGTGCCCAGCTAGATGCTGGAGAATGGGGGATTGGATGGGACAGGGGCAGTGGCAGTGGCAGTGGCTGGGTACCAGGAAGATATATCCGCGCCAACTGCCGCAGCTGATGCCACTTTTGGCTCGTGGCAGCCGCGAGCTGTTTGCCTGTTTGTTGTTATGCCGGTTAAGGCATTGCAAGGGCAACAACCAAAGGGATGGGAAGGGGCGGCAAAGGCACCAAACTGTGAACAAAATCATATTCCACTTGGGACACAACGAACTCGTTTTACACTCTTCAGGGAGATCTCTTTGGATCTCTTCTGATCTCTCTTCGGAGAGATCGTTCAGGGACTTATGGGAAGATCTTACTGTCTCCATTGCACCTCAAAGTTTCCCGGCATCATGGAGCATAAGGGATTGCTCCGTAACATAAGTAAACACTTGTCTGAATCCTCACTTATCCCATATGCCCATTGAGCAGAGTGAGGGAAAATATGAAAGAAAATTGGCACGACATCAGCCAGACACCCACACCCACCCACACACCTTACACACATTGCCTCCCTTTTCCTGCCAAGAAATGTTAATACCGAAAAAAGCGAACCATTTGCCGCAATGAAAATCGCGTAAATTTCATACTGATTGTAAGTGTCGCCGTTTGCTTGACGCTGCCACCAAGGCAGAAAGCTGGACGACGGCACTAGAAATGGAGATGGCGAAAGAGATGGCGGCTGGGACAGGACAGGACAGCACAGCACAGAGATGGAGATGGAGCTGGAGATGGTGTAAGAGAGCGATGTAGACGGAACTGCCATTGCCGTCTGTTTCCCCCCGCCATCCGCTTTGGCCCCTTTGGCTCGATGGCGTCCTGACGCCGCCCAAGCACCAAAACTCTGGTGTTGGCTGTCGCCTGCAGATTGTCAGCATTGTCACAATTGCAATTTTAAGGATGGGGAACGGGCATGAGACATGGTATGAGATTCGCTGATTTGGTTGCCATTTGCAACATTTTGCGGGCATTTACCATAAGTATTCGTAGCAGTCGCACAATCCCAGCCAAAAACGTCATTCGATTCGAGCGTTAATAGCCGACGCACGCGACGACCAATACGACGACCAGCTGCAAATCTTTCAAATTAGAAAAGTTTTTTGCTACTTTCTATGGCTTATTTTTCTCTTGCTATTTTATGTAACATAATGTCCCACACATATGTACAATGTACTACATACATGTGTATGTATTTTTGTAGCTGTCATCTTTTGTTTGTGGGGGTGGCTACAGTTTGGGGTGTGTAAAGGGTTGCTGCAGGGGCCAGAAGGCACCATTTAATAATTTGATTAAGACCAAAGCACGGAGTGTTTCACTTCCATTGATAAATTGAGCAACTAATCTTTTAGCCATCCAGATTAAGCTTTCATCTCTAGACACTTCTCTTTGATCTGACCAAATTCTGAATTCCATTCTGTGTATTCTTGGGAATTTGTCTCATCTTTTACCCATGCCAGAGCTTGCTCACATCAGAACTTCCTTCCTTCTCTCTCGGCACGGTTTCTCGGCATTATGTTTGTTTGACTTCTGTCGAAGAAGTATGATTAAAAAATAATTTCGCAAAGATATTGAATCACGTCGCGCAGGCAGCAGAGTCAAAGGGAACATTTGTAGGAACATTTCTGGTTGGATTGCAAGACGGATGGCATTTTTTGATGGCCGAGAATCAAGTTTGTTTTTACGTGCCCATGTACTTGGTCCTGCTGCTGCTGCTCCAGCTCCAGCTCCTGCTGGTGAGTTCTTGGCCCTGGTCTGGCCTTTCCTGGAACGTGGCAGACTTGGGCCTGGGGGATGTCAAAGGTCGGTCGCAGCTGCTGCAAATGGCTGGTGCTTTGGCGAAATGAGCGACCCCACAGCTATCCCCCCCCCACCGCTCCAAACTCACTTTTGGCTATGAGAAATCGCTCGTCATTATCGACGCCTGCGAAAATCCGCTAGCTGAGACACACACAGCCCCCCCCCCCCCAACTACCCACACAAAAGCGCCATAAATTATGTTAGTCCTACATCCTACATATATGTATGTATGAACGATATGTACCCCATAGACATCTGGAGCTGTGAAAAATCGTGCCCCAAAAACTTTGACCCAAACCCCGACGACGACACGACGGAACGGTGCGGGGTGGTGTGGTGGAGGGCGGAGAAGGAAGTCGCAACTTATTGAAAATCACTTAGACACACATGTGACGCGCTCTCTCTCTCTCTCTCTCGGTTCGTGAGCAAATTAAACTAGATGGAGATGGATAGAGAGGAAACCAGAGGAATTTCAGGGATATAATTTATGTTTTTGGGTATTTGAATTTTTGCTGGAGAAACGAAGAGCAACGAAGACCTTTCCCCCGGAAAGGTTTACGAAGAAAGTAAACAAATTTAACTGCATAAAACTGGGCCCCCCCACAAACAGTGCACTTGATAAACGGTCGCTGGACAGTGGACCGCAAAATAAGCCCCAAGGATTGTGATTGTGGGAGTGGCAGAGACACTGAGCCCCAAGGCTGCTCTGCTTAATAGACATGACCAAACGGCTAAGACCGTCCGAGCGGCAGCATGTGACGACAAACTCATAATTTATGGCCACATATCCCGGCCAGACGCCAGAATGCTATCTCTTCCTGGTCGAGGATGCGTCGAGACGGGTCCATGGGCTTAGTTCTGTGCCGCTTGGGCACTGGCATTGGCGCTGTCAGAGTCGTCTGTAATTGTTTTCCTAATGGAACAGTCCAAGGGCGACCAGACAAGACCCCAAAAACATGACCGCACTTAAGTTGTCATTGGCGCAGGGGGCGTGGACAAATTTATGAGCCCAAACCAGCACAAAGGCAGCTAATCATACAATTGAGAAATGGCAGAGAGAGACTTACCAGAACAGAACAGAAACACGACCCATGCAGCTTTTCGTCACAAAAAGAATCACTTGAAATGCAACCATGCAAAAATATCAACCCTGCACTGCAACTATCGAATGTACATAATATCGCTAAAGATGTATCGATATAGGCATTGACACACGTGTGTGACATACAAATCATTCTGTCTGCTTGTCCAAAATTAATAGCTGTTTTATTTTAGGCCGAATATAGAAAGTCTACACTTCCACTTCCACTTCACTATGTTTCTCGATTCCAATGGGCAGCCCATCGACGTGACACCCGAGAACCTGCAGGATTATTCCTATGATCTGGTGAGTGAGAAGAGCACATTTCGAGGGCTTTGCTAAACTGTTTACTGCTTCTGTGTTCAAGCACGGCGTAATGCTGCTAACTTCGTCGGACGTTGAGGCCTATTTGCCGCCAAAATGGCACGGCACCATCTACGGCACCGAGGAAATGCTCATCAACTACCGCCAGAACTTCAATGTGAGAGATCTTAATCGTAATTTTGCGTAATTCTAATGTACAATTTGGACAGCCGGATCCAGCTCTGCTGAACTTTCACGCCCTGCAGGCCTACGAGCCGGAGCTGATCTGCTGCAGGAATGTTGTGATCGAGCTGACGGTGCTGCCCGCGGGCCAGAGCCTGTACAGCGACTCGGAGATTGCCGTATTTATGGTGAAGCTGGCCAAGTTCATCACCAACACTGACGGCACCGAAACGCCCGAAACGAACACCAACACGCTGATCAGCAAGGAGATCGGCACCGAGCTGAGCTTCTTTCCCCACAACCACCACTACCACCTGCGCATCATGAGCGAGGGCATCGATGTGGTCTATGTGGACGACAAGATCTACCAGAATGGCGCCCCGGGCGTCAGCTATCAGCATCAGCGTGTCTGCAATCTGCTGAGCAATCTGCAGCCCCGCTGCGTGAAGAGCCTCTCGGGCCGCCCACTGCCGCCAGTCCTCAACAGCGTGTGCCGCGACCCCAACGTATTGTCGATCTAGAAACATAGTTGCACAAAAATACATACACACACACACAGATATATGTACATTGACTGGTTTATAAATTTGAAGACTGTTGAAGCATTCGTCTGGCGCTTTTATTGATTGTCTGGCTTATCTGATGGAGACACATTAGTTGCAGTCGAATGGGCCCAGCCAGCACGGCAAAACGCAGCGCAGCGCGTGTCTGGCGCATTTGTCGTCTGCCAATTGATTTTTGCTAGGCTAATTCTTATGGGGTATCTAGCGGCAATTGGTATCACGATGGGCACTCCCATTGTTGCAACAATTCAAATGTACTCTGGCTGTAATTGGAATCCGAAGATCTACACAGTCATCTCGTTTGTAGTTTGGCTTTAAATTCAACTTGGCTGCAGTTTGTGGGAGGGAGGCAGAAGGTTCCAACTGCCTCTCTTCCAACTGCTTATATTTTTATTTTACATTTGGCGAATTGTATTTTATTTGATTACAGAACATTCATTTTATTTAGGTAATTGTAGGACGGATGTTGAAGGTCACAATTAATGAACAAAGTCAATAATTAACATATTCCTATGGGCAGATATTTTACACACATTTTCCGTTTGTGAGGCTGCTTAAATTAAATGCTTATGTACTAGCTGTACTGTCCTCGGCCTCAGGTTCTTGCTCCGACTCGGTCTCGGCCTCAGCCTCGGCTTTGCCACCGTTGCCGCTGCTATTGCCATTGCCAGTGTGCCAGGTGAGGCGCTCCTCGTAGAACGCAATCACAACCTGTGGGCAGCGTTCGTTGGCCACTTTGGCAGACACCAGATCGGCCTGATCGCTGTCCTTCCACTGCATCAGGAACATGAGTTTGCCCAGCGAGGCGGTGGCTCCAAGTATTTTTGACGGCACCAGTTCGCGCTGAAAGCCGATCCGCTCACGCGTCTCTTCGGTCTCGTCTTCCATGAATGATTGGCGATTGCTGCGAATGGTTTCTGGTGTGGAGACTGCTGTTGCTACGCGCTTCTTGGGCGACTCTTCGCATGCTGATATCAAGTCGGGACCAGCCGGATTTTCCACAGCCTCGCAAGTTTTTTTACTGCGCGGATAGATATAATCTCCCTCCCAATTTAAAAAGAATTCCGTGAGGCCGTTTACCAATCGTTTGTCTTCCACGCGTTCTACGGAACTCATTTGTGCCAATTGTTTGATACGACAGGGAAATGGTTTCAAGTAATTAATGTTGCTTTTCGGCTGTATAGCTGTGGAAGTTGCGAACTCCAGTGCGACAGGGATGGCAACAAACTTGCGGTTTTTTAGTGATATTTTATACAATATTCGTGGTAAGTATCGATAAATATTTATTACACTGATGAAAATTATTAGAGTTAGATATTTGGGATAGTTAAAAAAATATATTCGGAGTTATTACAAAGCGTTAATATTCATTAGGAGAACGATAAAAAGTAGCCTAAAGTTTTAATCATTAATAATATTTTTTGATGTGACCATTTTTTACACCACAGCGTGCATTATTTTTATCCCAAACGCGTTTTTTTTTTCGTAAGCTCGTGTTAAACTTTTTTCAGCTGAATTTTTTTGTTCAATTGTTAAGTAATTTGTGACTATTCTTTTAAGCTGTAGTGCTCTACATTTGTGGCAGTTTTGTAACAGAACGCAATTGCATAAATCTTATATTCATTTTTATTTTTTTCAGATTAATTGAGAATGAATCAGGCCTCGTCGCACCGCTTTGCAAGCGAACCCACTGACATGGAAGTGTTCGCCAATTTATTTATGTTTGATAAACTTCAAACAAAGTACACTCCACGCGTCTACTACAGGAAGGTTCAGTCCGGCCCGTTCAGCTCTAGTTCCCCGGATATCCAGAAGATCCACGAGATGAACGAGACGAGCGGCGACAAGTCGAAGACCGAAGACCATTATGTCCATAGCGAGTGACGCGATGCCTTCGTTACCACCCAGTTCTGTGGCTATGGAGTAGAAGGAGAATTACTGCATCGCCATGAATTAGTTCTGTTTTCAAGCAGAATATAATTATATTTACCAATTCTTAACATCACAACAGCGAACAGCGAATAACGAAATGTTCCTTAAACTCTCGATAAATACACTTATTTCATGGACTATGCAAAGTGGTTTTGTGTCAGAAAGTTTAAGACCCTTCAGCTCTCCCAGCCCAGTCCAGTCCAGCCCCAGCCCCAGCCCCAGCCCAGCCTGCTCACATTAGTATTCAAAACAAAATGTCATATATAATATTTTTGGGTGTTCCAATGTCCAAATCCCCTTGGGCAACGCACTGCGTGACATCTTTGTTTGTGGTGGGACCTGCTTGTACCCAAAAAATAATCCCCTACCCTTCTTAGGACCCTGCCCTAGCCCCCTCCCACCCATCTAGCCGATTCGAAGGGCGGCCCCTGGCTATTTGATGGCTTTGCAATCGTTCCACTCGTTCGGTCTGTGCCCGGAATACCTAATGGATGCGTGCAACTAATTGAGTTGCTGGCAAAAGGATTTCGTTGTGCTTCTTGAATTTGCAAATCCTTTTTTAAAGGATAAAAGGTTTTTGTTCTGGTTTCGGTTGCTCGTTGAGAGCCCCTTGACCAGGCTCAGTACTTAATGAAGGGAATGTGAGAGGATTTTGTCGCAGGCACAAACAAATTTCACGCAAATCAAAAAGTTAAGCATTCCCGCAAACAGCAAAAGTTTTCAGCGAGGGTCAGCTAAGGAATAATCCAAGGGGGGTGATGGATGTAACATGTGTATATCCAGAGGCATAAGAAAATTCTAGGTGTAGTATTCATTCTCTTTTGACAAGGTTTAAAATCAACCCGCAAACCCGCAACCCCAACTGAGCCTCGAAGCCTTCTCTTCTATCAATACCAATCGGCATCAAATGCTAGCAAAATTGTTTCTTTTTTTCCAAATAGTTGTTGGCAGTTCTTTGCCCTTTTGAACCCTTATAGTGAGATAGATCCACCTGTTAGCACGCACCTGTTCAATAATTGATGTAAATCTGTCGGCACTGCGAAGTGTCACACTCGTTGTCATTGCTGTTTCCATAGTTCCAGTTCCTTTTCCTGTTTTCCCTTTCCTGGCGGGCTGCTGTGCTGAGTGCCTTGTTGATCCTTTGCATTCGTGTTGCTGTGTTGTTGTTGTTGTTTCAACCTGCAACTTGTTCACAACTTTTGAGGGTACTCAAGGATATGGTAACAGGCAAAGGGAGAAAAAAAAAGCCTCCATTCCATGGAAACTTCACAGCTGCAGGGGAGAGAGAAGGAGGAGATTGTAACCAGGGGCTCCAGACACAGAGGCGAATGCTCAGGCCTATGCTCAGACACAGGAGGGAAGTTATGTATAAGCTCTTGGGGAATGATAAATAGCCAAGAGCTCAAGTGGCCCGCCAGCACCGTAGTTGGCCGGAGTTGCAGGCCAAAAAGAGCTTCTCACCTTTTAGCCCTATGCAGGGAAAAAAACGCCAAGGCAAAGGCTGCCCTGCCCTGGATAAGCCTTCGAAAACGTAATGAAAATGAGATGAAAATTATTGCAACGTAAATCAGGCGCCCAGCTGGGACTCACCCCCAGTACCCCCCACACTCCAAGAGGCTGCTGGCTGCTTGCTTCTGGTTATCCTGTTCGGCTTTTTCCCCATTCTGCTGCCTAAACGATTCCAACTGCTTAATTTGGCTTTCATTGCTGCTGTTCGTTCTTTCTTGCTTGCTTTTTTCCGGTTCTTTCCTTTGGTTCTCGTATCTTTTTTCGATTTCGGTGCGGCCTGACATGAATTATTTAACGATCTCCAGCTGCGTTGATGCGATTCGGCCAAGGATGCCTCCAAATTAAAGTCCTAACAAGCTTAATGCAAAGACAACCGCAGAAAGGGGGAAACCAAAAAAAAAAAAGAAAACACACTGGAGAAAACCTTCATTTAATGCAACAATGTGTGGGTCAGAACAATAAGCGATTCAATCCAGTACTCCCCCGACCATTCCCATTCCCACTCTACCAATTTTTGGGATGCTGTGGATGCGGGGACTTAACTCTTTGTGCCGACGCGACGTCGACTTTCCAATTTCAAGTGAAAAATCCCGCGAATGAACATGTAAACAACACACTGGCTAGGTGGACACCCATGAAAGCCAGCGAGGGCAGGCTAGAGTGCGAGTGGGGGGGCACAGAGACAGACAGGAAAAAAAAGGAAAAGGAAAACTCCCAAATGCAAGGCAAAATCGACTAAGAATGATTGTGGTCGGTAAACGGATAAACTCGCAGAAGGGAGGACCTGGAAAGAGCGAACGAAAGTATTTACACAAAGTATTTACACAGAGGATATACACATGAGAGAAAATATATACATGCTTACTATGATTAATTATGAGAAAAAAGAACAAGAATATATTTGCTAAAATAAATTCTTTCCTAATGTATTTATCCCACAGATAGCAGAGACTCGCAGAAGGGAGAACCTGTAAGTAGTTAGAGGGCGAATAAAAGAGCAGGGAAGTTAAGTTAAGTTAAGAATAAAGTGTAGAGTCTATAGAAGAAACTACAACATTTATTTGCCTAAATAGTAACCAAAAATAATTATTATATTTTTTTATTCAATAAATATGCATACCTACTTTTTACAGGATTATATTACCAGTTTCTAAAATATCACTGCCTTGGATTGCACATCACTCTGAGCAATATACCCTGGCAACTTGCAATTTTCCCCCCTATGGGATGCTCACTGAGCTAAAAACCAAATGAAAATTTCTCTGCGGGAGGTCGCTCGGCCAGAGCTGCTGTATCTGTATCTGCGAGCTGAAAACTGCAATGGCCCCAAAAGTGTAGCTGTATCTGCAGTGGCAATGTGTCTGCGTGGAACAGTTTGCAACAAACTGGGGCTGGCTGGGGCGAAAAATCCTAAAACCAAATAAAATGCGCGCCGCAGTTGAACCCGCTTGAAATATATTTTTGGCAATGAAAATAAACCTCCAACAACAAAAAAAGAAAACTATACAAAAAGTTGTTATAATAAATGGAATGAAGCGCCAAAGCGTTGAGCTGCAGGAGAATGTTGCAACAGCAGCAGCAGCAACAGAGTGCAGCCAGGGCATCCTTCCTGATAATCCCTGGGAAATTTGTCTAGCCTGGCAACGCTCTCTCCCGTATCTCTGCCTCTAAGGCTGATGAATGACGTCGCTGCTGTGCAAATTATAAGAGCAATTTGCATTATGTGGGTGGTGGAGCACCATTATCCCACCCCCTCCACTGAGCTCTGGATTAGGTGGTGGTTGGGGGGGGTGGGCGCTACATTGTGTTCGCTACCAAATGCGTGGGGAATAAAATTCCGAATGGATTTCCGAGCTAGTTATGGCTTTTTAGCGGGGTCCCTGATGGTGGCAAAGCTGTTGCCAGCAGGGAGAAAAAACCTCAGAGAAGAAACTAAAACTAAGCCTAACTACTCACTCCTCACTCAACCCTGTTCCCATTTGATTTACAAGGCTCTTAAATAAATTCAAACACCAAAAACAATATCTCTGCTTGCATTTATGATGTACCAGGAATACTTCCCCTTAATGTTCTAGCAGCCCTGCTGACATCATCGGCTAGAGAATTCCCCCATAAAAATGCGAACTTTTCGCATTTAAACAATCATCTAATTGAAATCGAGATGAGATCAACCGAACCAAATGGAACCCCGTACCAAAAATCAACAACTAGGAATGCCATTCCTGGCACTTCCTTCCACCCCTCATATATGCACAAATAATTGCAAATACATAAATAAATTGATGGAGAGAGATTCCAGTCCATGCTTTAAAGCATCATCAATTTTCAATGCGCCATTAGCATGATTTATGCCCATTTAATTTTTCATAACAATGAAAAAAGCACAGCAAGGGCAACGTCCACAGGACGACACACACCGGATGACAAACAAGACACAGGCTGGCATTAGCAGGACAATAGAACAGTTCTCTGTAAAGAGAAGAAGAAGAAGGGGGAGGAGGAGGAGGAGGAGGAGGAGGAGGAGGAGGGATCGGAACTCCTCTCATCATAAACAAGAGTGCATAAAAAATGCCGTGAATGAGGCGAGGCGACAAGCGGCAACATAATTGAATAGTAAAAGCGTTGCACTGAAATTAACCACCACAAAATGACGCAAATAATGTTATATGGGGGAA